CTTTCCAGTCAACCTTCATTAATATACTGACCATGATGTGATATTATATGGAATATGCCATTGTCAGAGCCAAATGCCAATTTTGGGTTTTGCTAATTACTATGCCTCCCCCCCCTCCCTTGCACTTGAAGACTTGCAAAACACAAAGAACTTGACTTGCAGACTTGCAAAACACAAAGTCCTTGGACTTCTGGCAACAACTAAAAACATTAGTATTAGTATTAATATTCAGCAAGGGTACTACCCCCAAACTTTCTCCCTTGGGAATGTGACTTGTACCAGCTCATGGACCAGATGGAGAAAGCAAAAGAACTCCACATCTTGTTATTTAAAAACCCGGTGGTGATTAAGGCAGTCTGATGAGCCGGGGAGTCTGACTCATCATCTATTTTTTAAAACACTTGGAGTTGGTCAGATATAGGAATGTACTGCTGCTGTTCTCCAGCAGCAAATCCCCATATCCCACGTGGAAATTGGCAGCAGGCTGGGACAGAGGATCCCAGGCTGTGCCCGGCTCAGCACCCTGCTCCTGCAGCACCCTTTCCCTGCCTGGGTGACCTGTGCCAGGATGGGGCTGGCAGGGAAAGGGTTTTAATCTCTGCAGCTCTATGTCCAGCTATAATTAATCTTAAATCAAATTAAGCTGTCCTGGCAAAGATGGTAGCCAGCATCTTTCCATCCTTGTTCTCCCGGCTCCTGAGCCCAGCCTGTCATTGCTCTGCCAGGGCACATCACACAGGAGACGTAAGCTGCGTTCCAGGAAATAATGCCGTGTCACATCCCCTCCACCCACCACTTTCCTCCAGCCTTGGGAGAGGCTTTGCCGGAGCGCAGAGGAGCCGTCCTGCTGCCCAGGAGCTGCTGCAGCCACCCAGGAATTGCCAGCAGCCATGCCGAGCTGGCCGGCTGCAAGATGACCCTCACGACCACACTGGCAGCCAGCGTGGCCCAGGCTTGGTTTTGCCTCCTGCTCTGTGTCCCCTGGGGCAGCTCCTGTCCCCCCAGCTGTCAGTGCACGGAGCGGGCCGGGGCAAAGGCCGTCCTCTGCAGCTCCCAGCACTTGGAGGAGATCCCTAAGGACATCCCCAAAGACGCGGTGTTCCTCAAGCTGGATGCTAACAGCATCACCAGGATCCCCAGCAATGCCTTCAGACACCTCTCCCACCTGGAGGAACTCGATC